CCAGCCCTGACGGCACGCAGCCTGGCGCCGGCAGCACCGGCCCCTCCGGCCAGAAGGCGAGAGAGCAAGGCACCCTGCCGCCCTGCCGCCCTCCTTCCTGCCCGGAAGGGCAGCCCAGGCTTCACCATCTGCTCCAGCATTTCTAACATGGAATGGCTTTTTTGTTTTTTGCTGGTATTGCAAATTTTATTAAACAGGGTTGTAAAGATATACCACAGAGAGAGGTTGTACACGTTCTGGGGAGTTGTTTGGGGAGGCTTTGCTGGCCCACGTCTTACTGTTAGAAAGCCAGCACGCTTGTAGCAAGCCACCAGAGCTCTGTGGAGATGCTTTATGGACTGGACGCAGATCAAAGCCTCCTCCCTGTTACAGTCACCCTTAGCACTATCTCCTGCTGCAGGGGGATGAAAGTCTGTGAATACAGGCATGCTCTGCACTTCCAGGCAAAGGAGCCAGAGCTGGGAGAGGCTTTTGGGGACATATCAAAGTCCTCAAATGAACAGGGATGGTAGGGAGTGGGTGGGCACCCTTGTGTCGCGCTGTCTGAACACAACCCAACCTCAACTACACTACAAAGCACTGCACCGCACCGTGCTGACACAGCACTTCCAGGCACTTCGGAGCCAGTCAACTAGAAATTACACTGCAGCAAAAACAAGGGCCTGTTTGTCATCACCCTAATTAATCCACTTCGGGCAATGCAGCTGAGAAGCAGGGCGGTGATGCAGGGAGCCTGGGATTGCCTGCCCTCCGGCCTGCCAGCGCAGGGCAGCTGGAAGGTGGTTAAATCTGAACCCCGCCAAGCTGTATCGGTAGCAAAGCAAACCACCCTTCCCACGGCCACCCTCCTCCTGCCAGAGCGAGCCCTTCCCAAAAGCAGGTGAAGTGGAAGAAACTGCTCACCTGGTTGTTCCGCATTCGGCTCTTTCACCTATGAAGAAACACAAGTTTCCATCATCTCTCCACATTAGTCACCACCAAACGACCACTAAAACGCATTCACGCAGGCACTTACACACTCACTTCGGGTTCTGTAACCCCGAGTTAATGGCTTCTGCAAAAAGAAGCTGAACGAGCCCAAGAGCCGGCAGGTTGGGGAGATGCCAAGCTTTTTGCTATACAAGCCCCCAACCACTAAAAGACATATCAGAAATCCAACTCAGCCACGAGAGAGGGAAAGCGTCTTCAATTCCCACTGATAGTAAAGGTTGATTTGCAATACGAAGCCCATCTTGTAAAGAACCAGATGCACCGCAGGTCCTCTGCAGTAAGTGCTCATTTACACCGGCTGGGGATTTGCCAAACCCAAGCGGGAAAGGGGCAGCCTGATAAGGGCTGAAGCCCCCAGGGAGGCCGCTGAGATTGTCCAACTGCCTCGTGGAGGACCACTAACAGCACCTGACTGCAGCCAAGTAGTCAGTTCTCCAGCTCTTCCTGCGAGATAACAGCCCATCCAACCACGATCAGGCAGGCTCTATTCTGGCTGTCAATATTCTCAATTCCCTTCGTGTATTTTTAGTGCTTGGATTTCATATAAACGGCTGCATGTCACCCCTGATAAGATCTGTTCATTTTTTAAAGTATTTGTCAATCCACTGAAAAAAACTAAACTAATTTCACATGCTGTTTGTGCCTTTCTCCCAAGGCCAGGAAAGCTGATTTATTCTTCCTTCTGCTAAGACACATAAAAGGAAGCATTTGGCTGCACACGCCTCCTTCCTGCTCTCCCTTGGCACCTGCGGAAAGCAAGCTTGCAGCCAGTTCCTCACTGAAAAAGAAAAGAATTCCAAGAGTACTTTGCAAACCCAGACTCCTTCCTAATGAGAATCAGCTCATGCTGAAACACAGCATTTGGCGTTTCTGGGCTAAATATTTGCTGAACGCCTACGTAGCAGGATGATCCCATGGCCTGGGAGAAATTCAGCAAGTTTTCGTGTGAAAATCTGCTGTGGCTGCTTTTGCACAACTCCAGAGAATTAAAATGCCTGGCCCTGCACTCGTCCTTCTAAGTATGGCATTAATATGGCTCTTGTGTGAGAGACCAGGATGGCGATCAAATTAATCTTCAACAGATTAATCACTTCTTGCACCCATCCATAGGAGTCTTAGCACGTAGTGGTGCACTTAGCACCAACAAACAGAGCCCTTTTCTGCGTTAAGCTCTGTGATCTCTGGGAAGAGCTCAGATGGGTCCAGTTTCTGCCAACAGCTCCGTCCCCCTTGCCTGTGTCAAAGCCTGAATTCAGGCCAGGAGCCCGGAGCCCGGCCGGCAGCATGCAGTAACCCCGAGCCTCGCACAACCCCTGCCCCGCCGGCACGGAACGGGACTGCCCCGGCGAGGAGGCAGAAGGGCTCTCACTGACCGGCCACGCAGGGTGAGAAGGGGTTAAGGCAGCTACAGGGAGCACTGAAACTCCTGGGAGATGAAATACGGTAATGGAGCCCTGTGTAACTACCCTCGCAGCCTTCCTTGTGCCACATTCTGTGCCTTGACTTGGCTCAGCATTCACTGTGTGGAACACACCACAGGATCTAACTAGAAGGTGGACTTCAAGGCTAAATAAATTTGGCAGAGAAAATATGTTTGGCAAAATAGCCAACAATAAGCTATTTTTTTTCTTTTACTCTGAGATGAGAAGTCCAATTTTTGTATTGCTAAAACACGACCATGGACCATTTGTGTATTTTAATTTAAATATATTCTCTCCTGCTGGAAAATCAGGACACTAACTCATCTCCAACTTCTTTACACTGGAAATAATGCAATTTCTAAAAACCCTTTAAAAGAGCTAAAATCCTCTCCCAGGGACACAGTGGCACATCCCTGCCCCAGCAGTGGCCTGGAGCCACACGCTCCTGCCTCCCTCGGAAGTCACGGCCCCCTCTGTTGTACAAAGCCTGTTTGTGTGCACGTGCTCTAAACCAAACTTGTGAAATTATCTGGAGTAACAAAAGCCTGCTATGGAAAAGTTAGTTTTTTAAAACAAGGATGATTTTGCAGTTCTGGTTTAGAGCAAGTCAGAAACTGCTGGCCGGGGGGGCACGGGGCCTATTAAATCAGCAAGGCTGCTGGCAAATCTGTAGCAGAAGCACAGCATCAAGGACAAGAAAACACGTGCGCTCAGGGCCGCACGAAGAAGGGGGAGAGAAAGGAAAAAGGCAGAGGGTTGGAGTGGGTGCGAACCCCTTTGCTGCCGGAGAAGTAACAGAGCACTTTGGCACACAGTATAAGATTCAAACAAATCTATCTATGTGCAGTCCCAAAGAAAAGGGGGAAAAGAGGAATATCCCAGGGAAATAATGATTTTGCACGTCACTGGTTAAACTTAGTAGTAGCAGCCAGCCACAGAAGCCATCAGTCACTCAGGAAAACACAGACAGCAGGTAAGACTGAAAGGTGACGCCCGGCTTAAAATCGCCTGCTGTGACGGGAGGTTCCCCCCCGGACCTAACCCCGCACCCACCTTCTCCAAGGGTCTGCTTCAGCAAGTCGTGTTTAGCCTGGAGCTTTGTGATAAGGTTACTGCCATTCAGATACTCTTTAAATTTCTGGAATTAAAAAGAAAACAAACAAGGTGGGTTAAGACACTTGGCAAAAACCGTCCGTAATTGATGTACGCTTTTGCCCGGGGGGTGCTGGAGGGGGGCTGGGCGAGGCTGACAGGCTCTAACAAACCAGCCGCCGGCTGCGCCGCAGGGCTGAGCACGGTCCGATCACTCCTCCCTGCTCCAGCCCCAGTCCTGATGATCCTATTAGCCCGGTCTCCCTGGTGCTGCACCTCCTGCCTGGGAATGCAAGGAGCTCCAAAGAAACGAGTTCAAAGCAAGCTTTCTTTTGTCAGGCTTCTGGGAATGGCCAGGAAAAATCAAAGAGGCTTTCTCTGCACTGACAGGCGCTTTGCCTTTGTGCAAGCAAGCGATGCAGAGCGAGAACTCCCAGTGCACGAGACCTTCCCAGGCCAGGGACCATCAGATGCTTTATGCACTGGGCAACACAAACTGTGCAGCACAACTTCTCATGTCATTGTGAGACTGTCTTGACAGCCAGCAACACTCAACAGCAAGTAATTTTACAGATGATAGCAGTGAGGGGGACAGAGATGGCAAATGAAAGACAGAGAATGGGAAAGATCAAATTCTTGCAAAAAGCATTAAAAAACCCCAAGCAACTCAAAGCGAAAACTGCAAGCTTTTTTCCCTGAATTGGAATAATAATACTGCTAAGAGCAAGTAGAAGCTTTTCTGCGCTATGTAATATAACACGAGATGCTATTAACTTTAGCCAATTAACCATGCTTAAATGAGGGCTACTTCTGCTGAAGTACGGCTTATTACATGTATTTCAAGCACTACAACAGAGAACCTTAGATCTGCCTGGAAGTGAAGTACAGGGGCAAGGCTGCCGGGGAGACACAGCACAGCTGCCTCTACGCAGCGTGCACACGACAGCAAGGCGCTGCAAAGCCAGGCTGTCGCAGCTTCCTCCGACACCCTGCGTAAGATGCAAATGACCGTTCAGTTCATCCCGTAGGCCGAGGGCAGATTTTGGCTGTGTAGGCCAGAAAAGGAAGGCTTGGCTGAAGGTTCAGAATTGAGAAGGCCTCCAGGAACAGCCACTGAATGGCGACGCACTGCGAGGCTGGCTGCCTGGCTGCCCTGCTCTGGACCGCTCCTATTTTTGGTCACAACTGGTTGCTCCAGTTGTTCCTTCAAAAAGAAGAACAAGGCAGACACCGGATTGTCAGTCCCTATGCACTACCCTGCCGCTGAGAAATGCATTCCAACCCCAAATCAGACAGAAGACAAATACTTAAAGAGATTGAATTGGTTCTTGCTCTTCACTAATGAGCACTTAAAACGAGACTCAGCCCTAGCAATTAATGCTTTGTGTCCTGTATCGCATGAGATGAGACTCACTGTAAAATAGAACATTTCGGTTTCCTGTTGGTTGGCTCTCCTCTTGGCGATGTTTATTTTACTCATGTAGGTCTCTGATGCGGCTGATTTGACCGACTCAGTGGAGCGACTATGCTGGAAGGCATCAGAAACGTCAAAATCTTCCACCGTCAGCATGTCCTGCAAAGTCTGCATTGTGGCATCCAGAGTTTTTCGTACCTATCAGAAGTAGAAGATAGCGTGGTTTTGAAGCAGACTGGGAAAATGATACAACTTGAGCCAAAACAACTGGGCGACCGGCAGCTCCCAAGCACCGGGCTTGCTCCTGCACTAGCTGCCGTCAATGGGAGCTCTTGGCACTGTCGCTGGAAGGACTCCACACCCAAGCACATCAGGAAACCCCCTGCGTAACATGCAAAAGGCTGAGCAATGCTGCCTACGAGGCCAAACACGAGGCCCAGAGCGACTTCTTACCTCTTCATTCTCTATCTTGAGGGTGGCTAGTCGTGACTGCAGCTGGTGGTACCGCATCAGCAACTCGGTCTGCACGGGCTGCTGGGCACTGACCTGACACACCTGAGAGAAGCGGTGCCAGAGAGAGACAGGAGAGCGTTCAGTGGGTCGTGCACTGACCAGACATACACATTGAAATACCTAAATGATTCTCCCCAGCACGACAAGCTCCTCGCAGCCTCCAGGAAGGCTGCGTCACCCAGTTTTTAATCAGCAATGCCTGGGACCCGGGCCAGCACAAAGCATTTTCTACCCAGCATTTGAAAGCTGCACTCTGAAGTCTTCCAATTACAGCAGGTAAATCAAAGCTCCACGTTACAAATCTGTTGGGCAGTTCAGCTGAGAATCAAACCACAGGCTTCCTAATTGGGAGAGATACAGAGCAAGAGACAGACTGAAAGGAGGAGCCCTAATGAGCCAAGTGTCTCATTAAGAAAGGAAACACGGATAGCAGCGTGTGGGATAGAGGGAGAGCACAGAGGGACAAGGAGCAGTGACGGTTAAGAAGAGGAGGAAGCCAGCCCAGGCCAGGCTGCAAAGCACCTCTGCAGCCCCTCGGGTGAGTACGGTACCTCGTCCCCCATGTGAGGCTGGAACTCGAACTTCAGCGGAGGGCAGAAGACCTGGTTGCACATGTCCATGATGGTGTGCTTGTCGCTCCGTGCATCCAGGTTGTCCACGGCGTTCTCGATGATGTCCAGGCCCTCGTGGCGCGAGGTTTCCAGGTTGTACTCGGCAGACAGGTACGTCCTGAACGTCCGAGCGAGGCTGGCGTGGAATCCCAGATCACAGCACTGAGGAACACCAAGGAAGGGTCTGGTCACACAAACACTCCCACCCTTGCTCTGGAGGGTCATGTGTACATTTAATGCCCAAAAAAGCACTGTATGCCCCAGAGAAACATCAGCTCTTTTGTACTGGGGTATATTTAACAGCGTACTGCAATACCATATGAAAAGGCAAGAAGGAAAGAGGACTGAAGGGGAAGAGGTGCCAGGGGGCAAACGGCCAGATAGTACAGTGACCCCGCGCTGGAGCCTCGCCACGGCACCAGGGTTTAATACCCTTCATTTTATGGGGAAGGGCACAGGATCTTCTCAGATAGGACAGAGGAAAAAAATCATCCAAACCCACGGTTCTCCCTGGCTACCTGCTCAGCACTGCCAGGGGCCAGCGTGACCACAGGGACCCCACTGGTGGCAAAGCCCGTGCCCTGCGACAGCCCCCGGGAAAGGAACGGGCAGAGGGCCTGTCCCCCTGCCCGTCCCCAGCGAGGTCCTTCTCGCCTTGTGAACTACCCTGCGAGCACTTCTTACACGAAGAAACCGTTTCCCAAAGTCATCAAATACAGACGGACGTTCAAGCAAGGCGCCACTGGGCGACGTGCCCTGCAGTGTGTGCAAACCCTTTCATCCTCGCTAGGAAGCTGCCTTCCTCTCTCACGACGGAGCAGTTTCTCATGCACAACTGATCGTTCTCATGTTCACCTTGGGGAAAATGATAAAACTCAGAACTAATTGCTGCCAAAATACCGTACATTAGACAAAAGCTTGTTTTTAAACTCTCTTCTCAATATCATTGAGTTTGGCATGTTAAGTATAGCAACAGCACAGGGATTTGCTGCTATGAACGCTTAATCACAGCTGAGCAAAACGCAACTCTTAGCAACTCTCCTCGCAGTCCCCAACGGGAGCCCCAACACAGCGCAAACCTCCGCAGGGCTCCGCTCCGACCGGCTGGATCTGCTGCGAGCAGCCTGCCCAGGGAGCGGGGGCAAGGACGGGCACCGAAGAAGCACCCTGAAGTTGGATGGCAACAGATGTTGATCTGCGGAGAAAGGCAAGACAGAGAGGATGCTGGAAGCAGGAGGAGAGCAGCGCATCAGCCTGAGCCGCCCTCGTGGGGCTGTGAGGAGCGCGCAGTGAAACAGAAGGGCTGCAGTCCAAAACCGAAGCACATCTATTTCTGGGACGCAAGAGAGGGCTGGAGTTCCTGGTAGAGTACGTAAAGTTAGATAATTATGGCTTTATCCTCTGCGAGGAGTTTCATAATCCTATGTCCCCAGTGCACGCCTGGCACAGCACGGCCACCGCTGCAGGGCACGGCGCTGGTCAGCACGGGGTTAGCAGCGCGGCACGCTCACGGTCTGAAGCTGTTCAGGTTCCTCTGTGCACAAGCACCGTGATCTGCAGAGATATGCCCAGGCACAGGAGGGCTGCGGGTCGCAGGGACACCTCCACGGGAGAAACAGAGGGACCCCGTGAGAAATACCTCCTGCGGCACGTAGGAGGTGCCAAACGCCAAACTAACTAATTGCCAATGCCAAACTAACCATTGCCCGCGCATTAGTCTTGTGACATGCAAACTACCAAGGGACAATTTATATTACAGAAGTTAAAACGCTTTGCTGCCACACAGATTAAAGAACAAGTAGGAAGCCCTCACTGTCCAAACCGTAACCAAAACCACCCCGGCACGGCACGGGCAGGTGTTCGGTGAGCAGGCTTCAGCCCCACCAAAACCACTGCCGTAAGGACCAGCACAGCACAAAAAGCTACAGAGAAGAGAAGAAAGATTGCTAGTGTAATCCCAATGACCCAAACCGAGACCAAATTTTGCACAGCAGCAGAACTCCTTGTTGGGAGCTGGCATTTCAGAGGCACCTTCGCCAGCTCTACAGCATCCACGGGCATTACCGAACCAATGCAGAAAGGCACGGAAAGCGATTCTGCATCAGAACATCAGTACTGATAAACCCAAACTGAAATATGAAAACTCAGCTAGTGCCACAAGCAGCTTCAACCAAAGAAGTCATCTCGTGCTTTCTGCAGATCTCAAGAGACAACCTTCAGCTCAGATCAAGTCAGGCGCAGAGCTGTATTCGCTTTAGTCCGTGCTGAAGCGGCAGTAAACCTACACCGGGCCGATTCCTGCTCACAGACACGCGAGCGCAGCCTGCCTGTCCCCATCGAGTCTTCTAGAGCAGTGAAACTACACATGCCATAATGAGGATTTTTGCAGGAACTATCAAATGGTGATAATCCACCATTTATCCTGCTGCTATTTAACTTCTAATCTTATTAGTTGAAAACCTGGGCAGTTAAGGACTGGTATAGCTGTGCCTTCATAAGTCAGCAAGCAACACAAAAAATGAGGAATCACGGTGAATTTCCATTCACCACTTGGGGCGAAACCTTGTTATAGTGCTATGAGTCTCTCCCGCAAGACAATTTTAGCACGAAGTCCCGTACAACTGTTCCAGGGCCAGACACAGAAACCGATGAGTCGA